AGAGAGAGAGAGAGAGAGAGAGAGAGAGAGAGGAGCAGTGTGTTCAACGAAGGACATACCAATTCCCAAAAAAACGCTTAAATCGTGGCGTTCGTGGAGCCAACCTGTTCAGGAATATCAGTCCATTATCAGTCAAAGCAGGACCAAAGAAAAAAAAAAGTTTCATCTATAACTCGCTTAAACCAACAAATTCTCTAAAGAATTTACTGAACCATGTGTAGCCATTATAATCAGTCATTATGAATCTCTCACATGCTTACCTCAGCGCAATACCAATAAAAAAGAAACCAACAAAAGAAGAAAAGAGAAGAACAACTTACCTCATTTTTATCCACACCAAAAGGACATGAAACAATTCAACATTTCCTTAGAAACTCCATAACCCATTGTATGTAAGCTCAAATTGCAGACCCAACATCTCTGAAGTTCTCTTAAGCAGGCCTAAATTGATAGAGAGAGAAGTTGAACCAGCAATTATTCAAGACTGCATCATAAACAATGACTTGAATTTCAAACTATGGTGTAAGAACTAAGGGCATCAATAAAGAGAGAGGCTCTGTGCCGATCAGAGCAAAAAATTGTGGCCGCAAAATGAATTATGTATTAAGCCAATTATTCAAGATTCAAATTATGAACTAAAGGCACGTATATTGAACAGATTAAAAATGGTGGTCATACATTGAATTATATAGAGATTCTTTTTGGGTGGGTGGGGGAGTTTTTCAGTGAATTTTAGGCATGAGATAAAACTTGAAGATGATGGAATTCATGGTGATCATCAAATCTTACTCAAAGTGGAAACAGAATGATTTTCAGGGTGGAATTAACATAGTGGTAGAAGCAAAAAGCCCGACGCCTAGTGTCAGCCAGCACAAGCGGAATCAGAGACCAGTACTATATTAGCCTACAAAAGGCATACAGAAAAAAACCAGAAGAGAGAGAGAGAGAGATACAGTGTCAGCTAGCAAGAGGCAGTATCCAGGAACAGCACTATAGCTGCAGAATACAAGTATGGAGAGAGAGAGCTATTCAAGGGGTTACCAAAATACCCCAACTCTCCAGAAAGAGGAAAACCAACAAAACACAAGTTCTAGGAACACTCGAGAGGCAACTTTTCACGTGGCCTCCCCATGCTCAGAGAAAAGGATGAGTGCAAATACATGCCAAAACAATTTTATGGATAAGTTAAAAACATTGAAAAAGACAGTAAATCAGGACTACAATTTCTTCTCTCTGTAATACCCATGTACAGAAAATAGTAAAACTGCATATCTTGTAAAGTATTAAAGTAGAAAAATGAGGCACAGGCCATCCATCTGAAATTTATAAGTAACTCTGAAACATCCCCTCCCTTCCCCCCCTCCCCCCTTCCCTCTAACTAAATAAATAATTGTACACATAATATTTTACTGAGGAGAATGTAGAGAGGTAGATTTGATCAATGTTGAGGATCTTACCTATCTGCAAATGCAAGAGCAACAGAGCTGAAAGGGTAAAAACTTCATTGATTTCTCAATTTTCTCAATGCAATGATGACATTTTCTCTGTCAAAAGGAGAACACAACTTTTGTCAGATGCATCACAAAAAGTAAACCCTAATAGAACCCCACTTGTTTTTTTGACTGATAAAATTAACCACTGACTTAGAGAAGGGGGTGAACAGATAAAATATGATCTTGGGAGAACTTTCCAAAATAGATCAACTGATAATCTGTGGTTGTCAAAAGAAAACATATACAGGGGTTGTTTTTCTTGGAATTTGAGGTGGGTCTTTTGTCAAAGGCCAGATTATGATGAAACAATTAAGCAAATAGTAGTATTCTTGAAGGAAAATGTCCAATAACATTCAACAGAGAGAGAGAGAGAGAGAGAGAGAGGT